TCTCTCTCTGTCTCTCTCTCTCTCTCTCTCTCTCTCTCTCTCTCTCTCTCTCTCTCTCTCATGCACACACACACACACACACAATTTGGGGAAAGCGTAGTTGATGGGGGGGCTCTATTCGAGACTCTCTCTCCCTCGAGCGCGCCGTGATTATATTATAGACGTATGAACGAACATCGAAGCAAAATATATCTACTATTCATTCAAATATATCCACTTATCTGCTCTGACATCAGATACGTTGACGACAATGACAATCTAGAAGCAGAGAACGGAGAGACGTAAAAAATAATATCTTCTCTAAGGGCATGCATGCATACTCACAATAAGACTTTCCTGGATGTATCTGATCGCATATTAGAGCACGGCCTGGATGCATTTGACCGCAATCACGTCCAGAGGTCAGTCGAAAAGTCCTTGTGTAAACATGCTCTAAGTGCGTCTTGATGATCCCGATCTAACAGCAGCAGAGAAGGAGAGAGGGGCTCAGGCGGAATGAACGGGTATTTTCTCTTGGAATGGAAAAAAAAAAACGAAGAAAAGAAAAGAAAAGAAAAAGCTATCCTGTCGATCCTCAGTGTTTCGCATCGCCAGCGACATGACTCGTCAGACAGAATTTCAATCTGTCGTTGTTTGTCATAACAACTCCCTCAGCAAATTTGACTTAACAGTAATTTAGTATTCACTTCCATCCCAAAAAAAAAAAAAAAAAGGTACTAGTGTCCATCAGGACGGTAACTACTACTTCTCCATCAGAAAAAATAAATAAGGGGTAACTTCGGCGCAGTCACGAAAACAGTTTGTAATTGCACTTCAGGCAATCCCGCGAATACAACACACCCCCACGCGACCCCACCGGACCGGAAAAGCAGGTCATATACATTCAGCATTACCGGCCCTTTTGCCTCAAGTGCAATTACAAACTCAAACCCTGACTGCGCCGTAGTTTTCTCAATAAATAAATAAACAATAATTATTATTATTATTATTATCTATTGGGACGGTAATTTGTAATAGTTTGCTAATAAATTTACTACTCAATATTAAATAGTAATTACCCATTTATCCATCCTTGACCGTGGGAAGCTCCGATCCGCCTCACTCGTGCAATTTGCATTGAATTGCAATTTGCATTAAATTGCAGTTTGCATTAAATTGCAATTTGCATTAAATACTAGTAAAATACAGTAGAAGCAAGCAAGCAATTGCAATTTGCAATTTGCATTGATTTGCAATTTGCAATTTGCATTAATTTGCAATTTGCAATTTGCATTGATTTGCAATTTGCAATTTGCATTAATTTGCAATTTGCAATTTGCATTGATTTGCAATTTGCAATTTGCAATTTGCATTGATTTGCAAGTTGCATTAATTTGCAATTTGCAATTTGCATTCATTTGCAATTTGCAATTTGCAATTTGCATTGAATTGCAATTTCCAGGAGCAAAAAAACAAAGAATCGAACACGCGCAACCTCGCGCATGCCATTGGGAGAGGTGGATGGTCAACCAAACGGCGGCAAAAAGCTGTGACCGTGCGCAGCAAGCAATGGCACGATGTCATACATGCCCCGATGGGTCGTAGTAATATGAAAAAAATGAATATAGTCACGAGTTTTTTTTTTTGCACGACAATGCCTAGTCGGTCGAAAGCGTTGCGCTTTTTTCGATCGTTCGAAGAACGTCCCCCCTTATCAGAGATGAATTTAAATCGAAATTTGTTTCTATCAAACTATTATTATTAAGTAGTGATGATCATAAGCTTATAATAATTATTCGACTCACTCATTAAGCAAATTCGACCACAGTCAGCGCCATTCTGGACCCGATCCACATCTGCCAACGAGAAAAGAATTGACTTGATAATAAGTTGATATCATCTGTGCCATGTCAGATTCGATTCTATCTGATCTGTCAATCAGATCACTAGGTTATCGGAGGGACTCCGAGGGAGGGAGGGAGGGAGGGAGGGATGATGTCCTTGAACTGACCGGCCCCGGGTATGTCAGAATCGGTTTAATAATTTCTGTTCATCTGGTTGCGCATCTGGATCTGAACTCAGGTCTGTATTTCAACAGTCAGTTCTCATGGGTGGGAGTACCGACTCAGCTCGGGCGCACGGAGGGAGGGAGGATATATAGAGAGAAGAGAAAGGGGGAAAGACATCCAACCAATGAAGGAAGAATATGTCTGTTCCGATCGGCTTTTCAGCAGTGTTTGAGAAGGGGGGGGAGAGGCGGGGGGGGGGGACACCATCCGCTTCGCCGTGAAAACTCCAATCGGGAATTATCAGACAGCAGCTGCTTGAACGACAATGTCATCGGGTCGACACAAATGCATCCAATCAGATTTGATTGGATTTGCTCCGATTCGATCGGTGACAATCAGATTCGATTTAATCTGTGCCCCAATCAGATCAGAGCTGATTGGGTGATGGGAGGGAGGGAGGGAGGATATGGCAATCAGATTTGATTGGAGTTGCTCAGATTCGAACTGTGTGCCAGTCAGATTCGATTTAATCTCTGCCGCAATCAGACGAGTGCTGATTGAGTGATGGGTGGGAGGGAGGGAGGGAGGGAGGGAGGGAGGATATGGCAATCAGATTTGATTTGCACCGATTCGATCTGTGCCGATCAGATTCGATTACATCTCTGCCAATCAGATGAGAGCTCATTGGGTGATGGGAGGGAGGGAGGGAGGGAGGGAGGGAGGGAGGGAGGATATGGCAATCAGATTTGATTTGCTGCGATTCGATCTCTGCCAATCAGATTCGATTTCATCTCTGCCAATCAGAACAGATCTGATTGGATGATGGGAGGAAGGGAGGGAGGATAGAGAAAGGGAGAGGACACTCAACCAATGAAAGAAAAACACCTGTGTTCACGTCGCCTCTTCGGCAAATTCACCTCTTCTGCACTGCTCGAGCACATTGTCAAAAAACTTATTTAAAAAAAAAACAAACCAAAGAAATCCATCAGCTTCGTGATCAACAAAATCCAATCAAGAAGGCTCGCCCACTTTGCTTTGCAGAGACAGAGTCGAACCTTGATCACCATCATGGCATCATCCGCTCAAGCACTCACTGGCCACGGCCGCCCTCTCTCGTCATCATCTCATCCTCATGCTTAATTAAGCCACAACAACCAAGGCAAATTCCCACTGCGCGCCAACACCTCCAAGCCTCTTTTTTTGCCGAGACGAGTTCCCCCCTGCGCACCAATTCCAAGGCGAATTCCCGCTGCGCGCCAATTCCGAGGGGCACTCCCGCTGCGCGCCATTATCGAGCCAGACTGCCCCTTCCCTTCCCCTGCGCGCCACAAAAAACAGAAAAATGAACGCTCACGGCGGCGCTTTTTTTTACTCTTCTTCGATGGCACACCGCCAGCAAAGCCACTTTTGTCCTGTACCACTGCTCATCCGAAGTCCTCGGAAATTCGGTCACCTTATTCGATCGATTCTCGACGTTGCCCGAGAGAGAGAGAGAGAGAGAGAGAGAGTGCTGGCTATGGCGATGGTGGTGATGGCGATGGCGATGGAGATGGAGATGGAGGTAAAGGCTCACTAAAGGGAGAAGACGGCGGGGATGGTGATGACGATTGCGACAAGTACCCCTACCCTGCAGGCAGATTGGCAGCGACTAAAGGAAAGCCATGGAAGCTAGGTAGTCTTCTTCGTCCTCGGCTGAGCAGGTCAAGGTCAAGGTCAAGGTCGAGGTCGAGGTCATGGTGGCGTTCTACTAACCATCCCCGCCGGAATGAAGAGAAGAGAAGGAGAAGGCGCGATCGGCTTTCCTTCGGTACTTACGGCATACTCACACGGGAACCTATAATCCCAAAATCCCAAAAAAAAGGGGAAAAGGCAGGTCACATGGTTCTACCAAATTCGCAAATGTACTGTTCCCGTGCCCATTTGTCAGCGGCCTGGGAAGCCGCGGGGCAAGGGATTTTTTTTTAGGTTTTTTTTTTTTTTTTTTTTTTGGGGGGGGGGGGGGGGGGGGGCAAGGGATTTGGAGGTGACCGCAAATGCCCTTTTTTTTTTTTGCGTTTTCTTCAAAAATTGGAAAAAATTCGGTCACAAAAGTTCTTGCACAATTTGTGGATGGTGCCGTGTGAGCAGCCAAAGTACCAAATCCTCATTTCTCCAGACGGCCGCGACCTTGTCCCATCTGAAAAGGTACAGCAGTGTGACGTGAACCATGCCCAAAACCTCAAATCGGCCCTAAGCTTCCCAAATTGCGGATTTGGGGTCTCCGTGTGAGTATGCCCTTAGATGGAGACGCTAGCCTATAGCGCCCGTTAGCTGCCAGGCGTTAGGCGCCGTTAGCTACCGTGAGCAGCTGTGGGCTGCGGCTGCCCGCTGCTGCCTGTGGCGATGGCTGCGTTCGTCAGGAGGCGCCGACTGATTGATTCGCACTGCTACTGGCAGGAGTTGGGGGGGCCGGTCTCGCACTGCTGCCCGCCGGTACTCCTGACAAAATGCGCGGAAAAGAAACAAACAACAAATAAGAAATGCGCGAAATGAAGAACGTATGCTCCAAAAAAAAAAACAAAAAAAAAACAAAGAACGTATGCCAAAGGCGGGGGGGGCAATTAAAAAAAACAAAAAGGCAAAAAAAGGGGTAACCTGGGCACAGTGACGAAAACAGTTTGAAAATGCAGTTCACGCAATCCCGAGAACACAACACGGCCCCCACGTAACCCCACCGGACCCGAAACCTTGGTTGTATACATTCACCATAATTTACCAGCCCTTTTGCCTCAACAAGTGCATTTTCAAACTCAAAAACTGACTGCGCCGTGGTTTCCCAAACCCACTCAAGGAGGTCCACGCCCTTCGAGTTTTTTTTTTTTTTTTTTTTCAAAGCGGCCCTTGACTTTCCTGCCGTTGCTGATGTTCAAAAAATATTGCCTTATGCCCCCCCAATCTGACAGCTGCATTACTCCATCTCTCCTCC